CAAAATCGTTTGGCAGGCAGACTCTATCGCAGTGAGTCTGGGCAGGATGTTGTGAAGTAGAGTAGCCATGTCGCAGCGGTCCAAATCGCTGATGGCTTGCTGTAGATCGGAGGAGAACGACATGATGAGGATATCTTGATGAAGATGTCATGTATTGTTTGGCCCTCCTTATATACATTCTTTTTTCAGCTAGTGAGAGCACTGCCTGCAAGATTATTGCTTGTGAGAATGGTTGAGGAGCTGTTGACTTTCTAAGCGCCTGCACATATTCTTCGGGCTATTCTATGGCGATTTCTCTCTCTAGGCGCACTTAGTGAAAAGTCTGTTGGAGGACCCTTACATGCGGCACCGTTTTACTGCCATTGGCAAGCGAGTAGTCGCAAGTGAGCAGCAGATGTTTACGATGACTGCTGCTGTTTTATAGCAGCACAGCTAGAATACGATTTTTATATACTGTAAGAATTGAAATTTAATTTTATGTACAACTGCGTACCGAATAGATCAAAAGGTCGCAAGACGGTTCAATATGAATGTTGACGCCTTTATACAAATCCCCGCGTTATACGGAGCGGATGTGCAGCATCCCCGAATATGAAGTTTGATTAGGGATCCGACTGACCGTCGGCGGAGTAAACCGGTATCCTCCGTATAAAAAAGGAAAGCCGGCTGAACTTACCTACATGGGGTTCATTTTTGGATGCGGAGTTTGTAGACGTTAGTTGAATTCGTCTTTTCCTTCTGAGAATCTCATTGTTTTGTATTTGAAGGATCTTGGAAAACACAATATTCGAGCAAACATAGGACTCAAAACTTTCCGAGTCCCTTGTTAGCAGTCAATTTTTGGCGAGTGAGTGTTTATATCCAGATATAACTCTTGAGTTGAATTCGTATGTATATATCCTCAAATGAATCTTATTCACTGGTAGATATGCTTGGATGAGTCACAACTCGTTGCCAGCAAGGTGAAAGCGGCAGCGAAAATGTGCTCCATGTTGAAATCTCGTTATCGTTGGTGCGTTACGGGAACACCTATGTCAAACTCTGTGAACGGTGAGTTCATTCCAGCGCTTTCGGGAATAGTGTGGTACAGAGGGTATGGGGAAGACTATGTAAGAAGGATTCCGCTAGGTGAAAAACTGAAAACTCGTGCTCAAGCCTAGGGGAAAGATTGCGGTTAGCGATTTATTATCGGAAAAAAAATTGCATCGTAAGAGGTAAAAACAGTTCTCCTAAAGGCACGACAGTTCAGGGCCCAGTATCCATGGAGTGGAGCATTAGCGCTGAAGAGCAGTGACCATCAATGCTGCAGGCTCATATAAAGAAGAACAACTTCCATGAGCTCCATATACCAGCTAAGTGGGTCTGCCACATTGCCGGAGTCTAACTTCAAGCTTCGCGAAGGGTACAGAGAGGCTGCAACCTAAAGAGAACACAAAATAAGTGGGGCAACATTAACATTAAAAAGGGATTCTAAAACGAGACAGGGGTCATGCTATGAACAGCTGATAGATGTATCGCTTCTGTGCACTGTACTGATCTCTTACATTGATTCTGAATGAGCTTGGAGAGTTGAGTTTACAACGGATGCTGGTAAATCATTGAAGTGGGTGACACTCTCTTGTGTAAATTAATTTCGAAATAGTTGTATTTGTTTTTCTCTCAAGGAGTTTTAGTCATGACCCTTATAGCGGAGCGCTGTGGAATGGGAAAATGGAGAATGGAGACAGTGAACATGTATGATCGAGAGGACTGATATGATGCCTGACCATGAGTGCATAAAAGGGCTGTCTGTGGTGTAGTAAGGAATTCCTCCTCGAGGTTTTCAGGTGGAATATTTATTCGGCCAACGTTTCGACCTTTTCGTCGTCTTCAAAGGCCTAAACATGGCTCAAAGCTTGAGAATTACATACTACCCCACCAAACGCCCAGGCCCCTCTAGCATTTCTGACATCGTCTCAGGAGCATGCAAAATACTAGAAGTGAAAAGACAAGCTCACCTTATATTCCACCACTATCTACAAGCCAGTTAGTTAGTATGTTAGTAAGCGAATGAGTATTACTTCGCCGTCTAGTATCAAAGACATGCGCTTATCAT